CAAGTAGTCATCTCTCTCCGAGGTCGCCAGCCACTTCTTCGCCAACTCTTCCAGACGACCTTCCACCGTCGACTCCACGTCCGCCTCAAAGGCCACCGACCCCTTATAATCGGCCACGGCGGTAGTCACCTTCTTCTGCTCCTCTTCCCACAGGCAGGTTACCCTGAGGAGCTCGGCCAGATGAACCTCCCTCTCCTTGGAAAAGGCCGCCTGCTCTTCCCTGCGAAGATCGTTTGATTGGAGCAGACGAGAGTTGAGGCTGCTCGCATCGGCTTCCTCATCTCCAACTGGAGGGAAAGGTTCTAAGGAAAAGAAAGAACCGTGTCAGAAAGTAAAGAAAGGAGAAGTTAGTAAGGAGAAAGTCCAAACACTCACCCGGTAAGACTGACGCAAAGAGGCCTCCAGGATCAGCTCGTCCTTCAGCTTAGATGCCGACTCAAAATCCTTGGGGAGGATCACATGTTCGGCCCAGGTCTGAACCAAGAAGTTACCCTGCCATATTTAGGCGTTCGCGCTCAGTTCCAAGCCCACTCGGATCTTCTTGGGCGAGGAACTTCAGACTGCTCTAGAGGTCGCTTCGAGCTCGGACTCTCCGTTGAGGCCGGTGGAAGCCACGGGAGAGGTCGATAAATCAACCACATTCCCCTGCAGAATGACTCGGGACACCGTGGGAGGAAGCGAGGTCGAAGCAGAAGGGGTGCCAGTCGAGCGCTGAGTCATACGGCGCCTCATCTTTTCAGCACGGTCGCCCATAGGTACGGTATGGGTGTCGGTCTCCTGGAAGAGTAAGATGTGGAGTCGTCAAGACCTGTACATGGAAGAAGAAGCAAAGTTCAGTAGGTTATCTAACGCAAAAGACAGGGAAAGGGGTCTGATGAAAGACTACCTGTGGTGGTCGCTCCAGCAGGCAGAAGACCCCACTTCGCCATAGCTCGAAGTCGCGACCATCGTTGGGCACAGTAAGGCCCCATCCTCTTCAAAAACTTGGCACCCCGGGTCGCCTCTTTGGTAAAGACAGCTAGCCGGGAGCAAGGTTTGAAGAGGGTGGCTGGCCACATAGTCGGAAATGCAAAAGTGGGAGAGAGAAGAAGAAGGACGAACGAAGAAAAAGAAGGTCTTCCAGTCTTTCACGGAATCTGGAAGACCCTCGAATAAAACACACCCGGGACGAGCGGATATTTGTACAAAGCCCCGAGAGTGAGGGCCGACCTTGTTCACGGTGTACAGACACCGGAACAACTCTATACAAGGCTCGTAGAGCCACCACCGACAGAGAACTACGAAGCAAACCAAAAGGCAGTGGGAATTGGGGACCAGCTTACCTGGAACCAAGTTATAGTAACAAAAAAGAGGGAGAGAAAAGAGGGAGATGAATGCCCACGTAGCCATCCGGTGGGTCAAAAATGGACAGGTTCCTCGGAGGAAGAACGTCGGCCGATGGCCCAAGCAGAAAACAGGCCATCTCAAGATCTGCCTAGCTCCATTATCAGCAACGGGATAGACTCCGAAGCGTCTATAGAATCAAAACTACCCTTAGGCCATTGGAGGCCGTCGGGGAGAGCCGCCACCGTCGTTAGTGGGGCTGGACTCAGAGAAGCAGCCGCCCCGGAAGACGACGGGGCTAGTTGGGAAGAAGACGGTGAGGGAAGGTCTGAAGGCATCACCCGGTGGCGAGAAGAAGATGAAGAAGAGGACGGAGAAGACACGGTGGAGGACACCACCAGACGACGAGAAGGGGAGGAATAGGACGAGATTGATACAGGAAAGACTACCAACTTGAGAAACGTCCGGTGAATCGAGAAGAACTGGATGGAGGTGCAAGGCTCTCTGGTCTCTCTCTTTGAAAGTGTGAGTAATGGAAGGGGATAGAGGACACATTTAAACTTGGAAAAATCCCAAGAGATCGACACGTGTCAGAAGCCCATTAGCTAATAAGAGAGGTTGATTGACGCGAAGAGACGGGGCATCTAATGCCCCTCGAAAATCGGAATGGCGGTTGGACTAGGGTTAGCTCAAATGGCGCGCCTAGGCACGTGTAGGGTCAAAGCAACCCGGCCTGTTGAATCCCAGGCCCAATCTGATTATGAGACAGCCCTTTGGGCCATCCGGATGGCTATCTCACAGGGACGACGAGGCCATCCGAAGACGAGCTGCAAGCCCGTCCAAGTGCATAGTCGGCAACGACAACGTGACTTTAGTAGGGGCCTTGGAGCGAACACTGGGTCGACTCCACACCATGCTGGGGTTGGGCCCCGAGCCCAGACTCTTCCACAACCCAGCCCATCAGTAGTCGGATAAAGAGAGCTCGTCTAACCAAACGATGGGCCGGCCTGGTAAACAGGAAGCTATTAAGAAACGTTGCAAAGTAAAAGATTCTTTTTTTTCTGGGAGAAAACAGGAAAAACAAGATAGAAACGTTTATTGATTAAAAGAGACAAGCATACATCGCAGGAGCACGGCCCTAGTACAGGCTAGAAACATAAAATGAAAGCAGGATCATGGGTTTGCCTTCTCCTCGGACGGACGAGAGGGAGGCCCCGCAGCAGGCGGAGGTGGACCTTCCAGAAATAGCCAAGGTCGGAAAGGAGCCGGAGTCGGAGCTTGATCCGGTATGTCATCCACGTAAATCGGCGGTTCTCCATCATCAATTATTTGGAGAGGCCTTTCCAGAGCACTAGGAGACATGGCCACCCCAAAAAGAGGAGGAACCTCCCATACCTCTTCCTCATCCACCGGCAGCTCGCTTATCATCGGATCCACTCGTCGGCTAGCAGGGTCCACCGAGACTACGTCCAGAGCGTCCAGTGAAACCACGATGGGGTCTGAGCCGGAGTCACCCAGCAAGTGACCGCCGTGCGCTAGCTTTCACTACCTCAGCATTTCCAGTCGAGCTTGTTCCTTCAAACGGCTGGAGGAACGTCGCTCACCATCCCTGTAGCTCATGTCGAAGGGGGGATGAGAGAAAGTAACGAGCAACAGATAAAAAAGATACAAGAGAGAGGTGTGGGAAATAAATGGAAAGGAGAGGCCTATTTATAGTCAGGCCGAGCGGGTTTTCCAGAGCAAATCGTTGGGGAAATAAAAACTGCCATCACTTGGCAGGAATATAGGGAGTGGTAAAAAATCATCAGGAATCTGCGTCAGTGTAAAATCCCATCAATCCTGCTTGGATAGGGCGAGATTCCTGCCATGGCCTGAAAAACGAATCTCCCTTATATAAGGGAGAACTACAAAAAAGAAGCCCTAGTGTCAGGCCTCGGAAGGCGCGAAGGCCGACCGGTAAGTCGGAAGGCAACGAACATAATCGCATATGCTGAGAGAAAAGGAAAAGTAAGGAAACTGAAATAGTTCATGCGTTTTATTAAAAGAGTCCCGGTATACTAGCAGAAGGGGAAAGCTTTATTTAGACTAAGTAAATTTTCCCTGAGACTCTTCACTCAACCCCGCGAATTTCCACATTCAGTCGCTCAAAGCCTCAGTCAGCGCGACTCACTTCTCAGGTGAAGACGGCTCATCCAGGAAAGCCATCTCGTCCGATGAACCGGAACTAGCAGGAGAAGGGCAGACGGTGTCCTAGAAGGCCGGCATCAAAGGCGGGACCACTGGTGCCTCATCATCTGGATACAGCTCAAGGTAGCGGGCATAGTCGGCGTCCGACATCAAGTCAAAAGCTGGCCTGCCAAGATCATGTAGTGAGGTGGTAAAAGTTATCTGAAAAGCTAGCTGTTTCGGGATGGCCACCTCTACAAAGGTCCCATCCTCGGCCGTTACTCGAGCCGTGGTCTGAGGAGGAGGGTCGACCGGAGGAGAAGGATCCACGGCCGAAGGAGGATCCTCGATCGTCATCCGGGAACCAGAAGAAGTGGAGCCAGCGGAGAGCTTGCGAGAAGCAGGCTTATGAGCTTTCCTTTTCCCTTTCTCAGACCTCGATCGCTTGGCAAGAGGGGAATGGGATGGCGACTCGAAGACAATTTTCTTTCCTTTAATCAGTGGGCGACCCATGTTAACAAGGAAGATGAGGAGAGACAAAGACAAAGATGCCATTTATAGGTCCAAGGAGCAAGTGGGGAGTTAAAGCAGATCAGGACGGTAGAATCAGAAAGATCACAGAGGATCCGGCCACAATCCGACCATTGAAGAGAAAAGATTGAGGAGCGATTCAAGCAATCTGCATTAAAAGGGCGGATACTTTCCGGTATTCGAGTTGAATAAAGGGCTCAATATTGGAAAGTGAGGGACAAGTTGATGGGGTGTGAACCCCGTGGGCTCGGGGCCCAAGAGGAGAAGGGGTCAAGTCCAGAAGAAGAGAAGCCCAAGAGGGATATGGGCTAAACCAAGGGGTCGGCTCGAACACGAGGTCGGCGCGAGTGAGGGGTCGGCACGAGTAGGCAGTCAGCTTGGAGATAGCTGTTATGCATTTAAGAGGCTCAGTCAACAAGCCGTTGGGAAGCCAGTAACGGCAGGCCAACGACTCCTGGAGTTAATAGAGTTAATAAGCCAATTTGTGGCCTTAAATGTATATTTTTGAATGATCCAAAAGCTAGTCGTTGGTTAAGTTGTCAAACAAGTCATTGGCCAATCACTCAAGCAAGTTATGGGAATTGCACACTAGATAATATCCATTCTGTGCTCTGCTTTGGAAAAGATGTATACCATTCAAATTGCAGGTTGGTATACCCATGTTTGGAATTTCTAAGAGTATTGGATTTATCATTAGTGAAATGCTCACAAGGCATGCCTAGTGATTATAACAGATTTGATTCATTTGAAATACTTGGCTTTAAGTACTATTGGTTCTCTATACAAGCTTCGATTTTTTAAGCTTAAAAATTTGCTTACTCTCATAGTTACTTCATGGATGGAAAAATGTCCTTTGCAACTACGATGCAATATTTTGGATTTCCCACAATTGAGGCATTTGCATGTTGATAATAGATGTTCACAATATCTCCCTTGCTTAGTCAAAAAAAAAAAAAACTGCAAACTCTTTTTTTGTTGAAAGTTGCTAACTCTGACAGAAAACCAAACTTCAGAATGGTTCCAAACCTAAAGGAACTTGGTATTTACATTGAAGGCCAATTGGCGCCTAGCTTTCTAGGGAGCCTTGTGTATTTACATCTACTTGAGAAGTTGAAATTTGAAGTAGGAAGAGTCGAGCGCTTTTATCTTCCAATTGGCTTTCCACCAAACCTTAAGAAGTTGACACTTCGTTACACTTATCTTCCATGGAAGGAGATGGACACAATTGGCAAGTTACCACACCTTGAGGTGCTTAAACTAAAAGATTTCTCTTTCTGTGGCTCAAAGTGGAAACCATCGAAGCAAGGCTTTCGGGAATTAAAGGCACTTCTTATCTCACGATCAAATCTCAAACATTGGGATGCAAGTTCTAATCATTTCCCAATTTTGGAGCGCCTAGTCTTAAGATATTGTTGGGAATTGAAACAAATTCCAATTAATTTTGCAAATATTGAAACACTGAAGTTAATTGTGTTAGAATGTTGTCATTCTTCTCTTGTGGCCTCTGCAAATCAAATTTCTTCTGCAAACAAGTTATTGTTTGAGGGAATGACAGATTGTCCACTTCGTGTTCGTAAAGTTGGAACTAAGGTTTCTCTCTATTTCTTGTTCATTATTTAAACTATTAGTTTTCCGCCTTCTAATTCCATGTGTTAATTTAATTATTTATTTTTGTACTCATTTTAAATTACTTTTCAAGGTTTGAAATGCCAAATAATGAAAGCTTTGAAGAAGAAAGTGTGGGAAGCTCTAACGAATTGAGTGTGTAGAAATATCTAAAGGAGAAGGTTTCAAAATCTCTGAATGCATTCAAAGAATTGAAGAGGAAAGTTTTGTAAGCTCTAAGAAGAAAGGGATTGAGGAATTTGTTAATTTTGGGCTTAATATGAACTTATGAAAGCCTAGGTATGTATATACCGCAAATTATCCCCTGGACCTGCATTGTGGACACGAGTCCAAAACGACGTCGTTTTCAGGGAAAACGCTTCATTCCAGTTTTAAAAAAAAATTGATTTTGTCTCGCCGTTAACGTCGTGCCATTATGAATGTACAGTTATGGGATTATGAATGTACAGTCATCGAATTATGAATGTACAGTTATGGAATTATGAATGTAAGTTATAAAATTATGAACACAGAGCTCTGACATTATAAACTTACAATTATGAACATAGAGCTCTAAAATTGTGAACATGGATCTTCGAAAATTATGATTTTACAGTTATTGAATTATGAATGTACAGTTACGGAATTATGAATGTACATTTACGGAATTATGAATGTACAGTTATGCAATTATGAATGTACAGTTATGGAATTATGAAGACAGAGCTCTGACATTATGAACTTACAATATGAACATATAGTGATAAAATTATGAACATAGAGCTCTAAAATTGTGAACATAGAGCTTCGAAAATTATGAAGTTACAGTTATGGAATTATGAATGTACAGTTATGCAATTATGAACACAGAGCTCTAACATTATGAACTTACAATTATGAACATATAGCGATAAAATTATGAACATATACTCTTATAACAAAGTGGTCTGAAATTTAAATAAATAAATAAATAAATAAAAATAAAAATAAAAGTGAAAGAGAACGGTGTCACTAACAGCACCGTTACCATGTCCAGCATGCATGCTGGACACGGGTCCATAGCATAACGATTGTGTATATACCCCTATGAAACTTATACTTAACTCCATATTAACTTTTGCAATTGCAAATGACTTTCTAGTTTTTTTTTAAGGAGTTCTTTCCAACTTTAATTCATGAACTATTTTATTTTTACTTCTCATCATCAACCTCAAAATCAATCAAAAATTTGGTACCTGAGTATTTAAAACTTGCCACTTTATAGTCCTATAGTCAGGTACTAAATCTTACACTAAATTTTGTTCTTCTTGGGCTAAACTGGCAAGTTTTCAAAGTCGTTAGGTATTAAATGTAGTTAATTTTGGAAGTTAATAACCACAAAAGTGGAAAATCCAATAGTCGTCGACTAAAACAGGAATTCAATAGTTGATAAATGCACCATTTATTGTAATTTTGTTCAACGAGGTTATTCTTATCCGTTGCAATTGAATTTGAACTTCACTTTATCTTTAAGCTTGCAGGTTCCTGGCTGAAGTTTATAAGGTCTTCATTGCTGAATAAGTTCTCTGTTGCTTTTATGAGTTTATGCACTGGCTAATGTTGATAAATATTGCCACTTGTCCTGTCCAATCTATTTTGGTGGCCGGTGATCTGTCTCTTTTGTTGGGAATTTGCCTAATCACTTTCGGGAGAAAACAAACAGAATGGATTTCTTGCCGTAATTCTTCAAGTGTTGCTCAGAGGTGCATCAATATAAGATGTTGTAAGTTTGGTTTCCATTTGATCTGAACAATTTTTGGATTCCATTTGATCTATTCAGCTGTGTGTGTTTTGATGTTCTTCTTCTCCAATAATACCATGGCTAAGTTGTAATAATCCACTGTTCAATTCACTATTCTTTTACAACATAGTAGAATGCCTTTTGGTGCCAATGAAACCTGCATTCATGAAGGCTTAAAAGGAGACACTACAAATTGCTTGAGTGCTTCATTCTATAAACTTCTCTCATTCCAAAATCTACAGATAAGTTTTTCTCAAGTTATGGAAATGCATAGAACTATGCACATATGCATTATATATCTACCCTTTGATTGCTACTAATAACTTGAATGTTTTTAAAAATTTTGTTGTCCCAAGGACTATTTTACTGTTCAAGGCGGTTGTTACAACTAATTGAAAGTGCAATAAAGTATATAAAAGAAGGTAAATTCTCATATGACACCGTTCATGGATAATGTTGTGTTTTTTAATAAGTATTATAACTTTTATCATAAGTAATTCTTCAACTCTTAATATTACGTTTTGATTTAAAAGTATTAAATATTTTACGCTAAAGTGTCACCCCGCACCATGAACCATTCCTTATTATTCATGCCGCATCATGATCTTTAATAAGTGATATTTAGAGTCATCAACCATAATTTTTTTTTTTCGTCTAGAACTTTTTACAGTTTCCCACAGGTTACCGGTTATAATATTGCTGACAATGCCTGACATGGAATTTTTTATTAGTTTTTTATTGGTATTTTTCTTCTTTCGCCTTCGTATTATTTTATTTCATATTTTTCCTTTTTTCCTAAACGTATAGGCATGCTCTGCGTTTTTCGCTTCTCGTTTCTCCGATCAAGCATGCTCTGTATAGGCCTTCTCTGCGGAGTTTGGTATCGGAGAAACAAGAAGCGATAAACGCAGAGCAGGCCTATACGTTTACGAAAAAAGAAAAAATACGAAAAAATAATAATAATACGAAGGCGAAAAAAGAAAAATAAAAAAAAAAAAAAAAAAAAAAAAACCTAATAAAAATTTTCATGTCAGCAATATTATTACCGGGTAACTTGTAGGAAACCTGTAAAAATTTCTAGACGGAAAAAAATTATGGTTTATGTCTCAAAATATCACTTATTAAAGATTATGGTGCGACATGAATAATCAGGAATGGTTCATGGTGCGAGATGACACTTTAGCCTTTTTTTTTTTAATCAAAAGTATCACATTTTTCTTCATAAGTATTATACTTCATCTTATAAGTAACAATTAAACAATTTATCCATAATTAGCTTACATTTTTTTCTCATGAGTAACTATTCAATCTTAAATACTTGTGGCTGCCGAGGAGGGCGCACGTTTGGAGTCAACCGAGCCGATGCGGAAATGTTATGTCGATGCCGGGTTTATGCCTGCTACAGGAAAAGCTACGGTTGGCGCGATTTTGTTGAACGAGGAAGGGGAATATGTATCGGCATTCAGTGCACCCTTATCATATTGTCTCTCCCCGCTTATGGCTGAGGCAATAGCATGTAAGGAAGCCTTGTCTTGGTTATGGAATCGTGGGGAAGGCTCTGTACGCTTACTCATAGATTGTTTGACCCTACAACAATATTTGACAAATCAAGTTGTCACAGTTCGGACTTACGTTGGCTATGCTATTAGTGCTTGTAGAGCACGCATTATCTCTTTTGATTACTGCTCAGTTAATTTTATTCCTAGATCAGAGAACTATTTAGCTCATAGTTTAGCGGCTTCTGCATTTAATTATTCTACGATTATGTATTCGGACAATGTCCCCCCAGACTCTATTTCTGAGTACTTTTAATATATGCCATATTGGCCCCCTTTCAAAAAATTCAATCTTAAATATTACATTTTGATTTAAAAGTAATACACTTTCCTTTATAAGGAGTGAATTTCATTTTTGGTCCTACTGTTATAGGGGTTTTTCCAATTTAGGTCCACCATAATTATTTTTGTCACATTGCGTCAACTATTCTTAAAAAGAGTTAATAACTGAAATAGTCCCTTGACTATGCTGTAATTACCAATTTAGTCCTCGACTACTATTCTTACCCGATTAAGTCCTCAACTATGCACTTTTTACCCAATTTAATCCTTCGTTAATTAATATTTGTTGACTGTTAAAATTGAGTGCAAAACTGTAACTCTATAAGCTCTCTTCCACATTCCCCATAGAGCAGCCCAAACCTCCGCGAATGAATTCAGAATCTCATTACATGACTGTTGAGAAGGATGAGCATAAAGAAGAAAAAATTGCGCTGGAAGCCCAGATTGAGAACCTGCAGACTGAAATAAACGAAACAATTCGTTCCCAAACTTCCAACATTGATAACATTACTTCTCCGCCACAGCTGACAGAGGACCATCTTAGAACAAGTATACATGATTATGCATCATCCTCAGCTGCAGCTACCGGACCCGTTTTGGTTGTGCCTTTACACAATGACCTTCAAATGTACAGCACGGCTGACAATGCAGAGGCTTTGCAGAACCTCCCACCTAGTGTGAGTAGACCTCGCCCACGATACCCATCACCCTCCGATTCATTGCCATCTCTTGTGCTCAATGTGGCATCAAGCACAACAGAGGATAGAACCACATTGTTGCATGAGCTATTAGCATCATCACAGTGACCCTGCAACTCCATGTGTAGTTGATTGTTCGGTCTCAAGAATCTCTAATTGCTCAACTGATTAGTGTAAATGTGGTTATCGTTCTTGATTTCTTTCGGTTTTAATTGGGTTGCTTTCTTTAAAAAATTAAAAAAAAAAAAGAAAAAGAAAGAAAGAAGGTGGAGCGTTCACCGGACGGGCATATCACGGAGATCGTGTATAAGGGCATGCATAATTACCCGAAAGCTCAGGCGACGAGTCTCCGGTGACCGTTGTCGTCGTTAGAAGTGGAAAGCTGTTCGTCCGAGACGATGGGCCAAGGGGGCGGATCTTCTTATTTCAGAGCTCAGGCTCCGATTTGGGCGAACATTCAGAACTATGGCAGCATGCCGGAAAGAACAACGTTGGCGTCGAGCAGTGATCTGACGGCGGAGATTTGCGATCTGCTGTCTTCGTTGACGACGATATCGGCAGCGGCGACCATGAGTGGGTTTGAATCGGAAGCAACCCCTGAACCTTCATCTACACTTGCTAGTCAAGATTTTGATGATAATGAAGATTACAATTTTGTCCTCAACTTTG